TAGTTATTGAAACCATGTTTTCATTTATCTTTTAAATTAATGCTTAAGAATGGTAACTAAAAAGATTGGCTTTTTTAAAGTAGGCTTAAATATGCTTTCACCCGCTGCATATATAAAACTTTTTTGTGACAATCTCTACAATTTATTCATCTATGCAATATACAATTTCTTTCTCATTTCAAGGTTTTCATACTTTTTTTGCGGTCACAGCTCTCTTTTAAACATTGATTTTGTCCAACAATTTTTATCAAATCTGAATTCAATTGTTACAGTACAATAGAGCTTAAAAAATATTGACACTTGCATAACTCTACACTAAGCTTTCCACATCAGTTTTTATAACTGTTTTGAGACTAGTAGTGGAGTTGAAACTAAGAAAACTTATTCATTCACGTTTTTAATATAGATTTCAACAATACTCGGAAATTAAGTTTTTAAGTATTTTTGGGCTGAATTGGAAACAAAGAAGAAAATGTTTTAGTCATGTTTGTTTCCTTGTCAAATATAGGTTTTGTATGTCAATGAGAGAGAAAAAAAGAAAAATAACATTAAATTACACAAAGAAAATAAAGCAATTTGGCGGAGAGATTAAAGAGAAAAGTACACAATATACTCTCTTTGCAAGGTTTAAAACACATTTAAGCCTAAAACTATGTGACTTAATTTATGTCCTGTTCGTTGGGCATAAGAAAGTAGTGCACACAAAGAAAAGTGAAAGTATGTAGATGACATTGAATTAGTAAAGTATGAACGGTTTTGAATGACATGCATATTTCCAAATGTGGTATTAGACAAATTTACCGGTAGTGAGACATGCGATGAAGAAAATGAGACAAAGATTGTGGGCGGGTATGGTAAGAAAGTTACCAATGCAAATATATTTCTAATAATAAATTCACGTTGCAATAAACATGCTTACATGAGACTGAACATGTCAAGATTTGATTTGTGAGGACCATATCAAAATAGACCGCATTAAATTAGACCAAATTGGATCGGATCAAACTAGATCAAATCAAACTGTACAAAACTAGATTGGATCAAGCCAAACCACTTCAGACCATTAAATGGTTCCAGAAAGTTATATGATGATATGAACAATGATATATAACGTGCCTTTTGTTTGCACAATTATTCAAGTACAATACTTATCCTCTACTTTTAACTCTACAGTTTCCCAAAAGTAATACTAGAAAGAAAACATATAATTATAGTAATAATATTCACATTTGAAGTTTTAATAATTGTTGAAGTTTTAATTTTGTGCTCGTCATACCTATCAGAGCAATCTCCGGGAATTTTCTTTCTTTCACTCCCCAAGCGAAAGCTAAGCCGTATCAGGACAATGCAGTGACCATAAGCCTTTACCTCTCCTATAGTGGGAGAGAGGGCAATCTTCTTCTGGGAAATAGCATTCACGCATTTACTATTAAAAACCCCTTATTCTTTGGTTTGGAGAGTCAAGCTGCCATTTTGGTTATGAACTCTCTCATTTCGATGTATGTAAGGTGCGGTGAATTGCTAGATGCAATTAAGGTGTTTGAGACTATGCTTGCGAGAGACATCGTCGCATGGAACTCAATAATTTCAGGTTTCATAAGAAATGGGTATTTCAAAATAGGATTTGAGTATTTTAAAGATATGGTTAGTATGGGAGATGAATGGATTGATCATGCTAGTTTGACTACCATTTTATCAGCTTGTGATGGGCCTCAATTTCTTGTGATCAACAAGATGGTCCATGGATTGGTGTTTTTTAGAGGTTATGAGCGGGTGATTTCTGTGGGAAATGTTTTGGTTACTTCATATTTTAGATGCGAGTGTTTTGACTCGGGGAGGCGAGTTTTTAATGAGATGATTGATAGGAATGTTATTACTTGGACATCTATTATATCGGCGCTTGCAAGGAATGAGTTTTTTGATGAAAGCTTGAAACTTTTTGATGAATTTCGGAAGGGTTCCGATGTTCCTAACCACTTGACATATTTGAGTGCATTATTAGCATGTAGTGGCATCCGAGCACTCAGGAAAGGTTGTCAGATCCATGCAATTGTTTGGAAATTGGGATTTCAATCAAATTTGTCAATAGAGAGTGCACTTATGAATATGTATTCAAAGTGTGGAAGTGTAGAGGGAGTTTGGCGAATTTTTGAGTCTGCCGTGGTGCTTGACACGGTCTCTTTGACTGTCATCCTTGTAGCTTTTTCCCAAAATGGATTTGAAGAGGAGGCTTTGCAAATTTTCATCAAAATAATGAAATCAGGAATTGACATTGACTCAAATATGCTTTCATCCATTCTTGGGATTTTTTGTAGTGATACAATTTTAGGTCTTGGAAAACAAGTTCACTCTCTAATTGTCAAGAAAGGGTTCTCTCACAATCCCTTCCTTGGAAATGGGCTAATTAACATGTACTCCAAGTGTGGTGAATTGCAAGAATCTGTCGAAGTTTTTTATCAGATGCCTTTTAGGAATCCAGTTTCATGGAACTCTTTGATTGCAGCTTTTGCTCGACATGGTCACGGTTTTAAAGCACTTGAGTTGTATGAAGAAATGATATCGGCTGCTGTTGAGCCGACCGATGTTACCTTTCTTTCATTGCTTCATGCTTGTAGTCATGTTGGTTTAGTAGAGAAAGGAATGGAGGTTTTCACATTCATGCAGAGCGTCTATGGAATGATTCCTAGGATGGAACACTATGCATCTGTGGTTGATATGCTTGGAAGATCAGGACTTTTAAATGAAGCAAAATGCTTCATCGAGAGGCTACCAATAAAGCCTGATGTACTACTTTGGCAGACACTACTTGGTGCTTGTAGTTTTCATGGAAATACTGATATCGGAATGCATGCTGCACAAGAGTGGCTTTTAGCTTTGCCGAATGGTACTCCCGTTCCATATGTTCTGTTGGCTAATATACATTCTTCCAAAGGGAAATGGAAAGAAAGAGCAAAAATTGTCAAAAAAATGAAAGAAACTAGGCAAGCAAAAGAGACCGGGATAAGTTGGATGGAAATTGAAATGAAAGTTCACAGCTTTGTAGTCGCTGATCAGATGCATCCACAATGTGACACTATTTATTCTGCATTGTTGGAGTTATATAGACACTTGGAAGATGAAGAGGCCATTGTATTGTATGAATTCTGATGAATAGAAAATGTCAGGGATTTGCAATATTTCTAACCACAAGCCTAGTGAAATGGATCTCAAAATCGTAGAATAAGCAAGTATATGAAGGTAATCATGTAGTTAGGTATTTGTTTTTTCATTTTTTGCCCATTTGAGTCTCTTAATTGGAAGGGGTGGTTTCAAGGAGCATTTACAAGATTTAACAGTAGGTTTACCAAAATGAAAAAGAAATGAAGATAAAAACCAACTTTAGAAACTTCTACAGAGTTATTGCTCAATATGTAATTGACTACAATTTAGGGTTCCTCATGTCCAGTCTATCTGAGAAATAATTCATTGAAAATGAAGCAACCCAAATTCATGATAGATTTATGATATTCTCTAATAGAAAACTAAAAAAACTTTGCACTTTTGGGCTTGCATGACACATGCCTTAAGTTAGTCTCTATTCTCTCTGAGTGAGGCCTTCAACTGGGTGAGTTAATCACATGGAATAGTGTCCATTCATGTCGTTTGATTCATAGTTTTTTGTGTTTACTTTTTTCTAGAGCATTACAACAACAATAACATTATCCCAGTGTTACCTCACCTGACCGGGTTTTACCACTACCAGGCTACCAGCTATAATTTCTATAAATCAGTAATTGGACACAGATAGGGGTGGACTCGGGTTGGACTGCCCAGCCCGGAACCAGCCCGGTGCAGTACTGCTTGGGCCCGGCCCGGACAGGTTGGCCAGTCTTCGGGCTGGTTCAGGCCTACCGAACTGCTCATATCCCAGGGTGGGCTTGGGTCTCCTAAAAGTGGAATCGGCCCAGGTTTAGTAATACTTTTTTATTTAGTCTAGAAAAAGTCCCCTAGCGTGAAAACAATGATAGTAGCTGACGGCATATGCAGGTGCTGTGGGAAGGATTAAAAACCTACGGTGTTGCAAAGAACAAAAAGGTGGGGTGCTGTTAAAGACTTGAATGGACGGTTGCACAAGGGCTAATGGCATATACAATTCCTGTGGATTTTTATATATTTTTTTTTTGCAGTTGCTTTGAGTCTATCTGTGATTTATCATCTATTATCTGCTATGTGACAACATTACATTTGTAAGGTGTACTTTCTCTTCCTTCATAGTTCATCCCCCAAAGGAGCAGAGTTCAGTTGCAAGAACATTTTTTGTCTATATATATATATATATATATATATATATATATATATATATATATATTTACATAAAAAGCTGAAAATGCAAAATAACCTGGTGAGCTAACATATAGAAACGAAAAAGCATTACACAAGAACAGCCATGAAAAAACAGTCTGCCACGTGCGGACCATAGTCGGACCATAGTTCAGTTGCAAGAACATTTTTTGTCAATATATATATTTACATAGAAAGCCGAAAATGCAAAATAACCTGGTGAGCTAACATATAGAAACGAAAAAGCATTACACAAGAACAGCCATGAAAAAACAGTCTGCCAGGTGCGGACCATAGTCCATAAATGATCACAAAAACAGAAGTTTCTTTTGGGTGGAAAGATAGAGAGCTAGCTGATAGCCTGATAATGATCAATTAATACCTGATTATCCCCCATCCTCCCCTAATATCACTCACTCCTTGCTTCTATTAGCTACAAACACATACTTTTATATGTAATTCTATATAGACTAAACTCAATTATTGGCTATAGAAAATTTTAACTATTTTTTGTGAAAATTAATAATTTAAATGAGTGATTGTTTTTTTAAATTAATCCATTCGTAGCTAAAATATGTACCAATGATGTAATTAATTTACAGTGCTGTGGCTGCCACCAATCTGATCACGGCGTAGAATTTACAGATATTTCTTGTGTCAAACTTGGCTGGTCCACATGTGAAGAAGGAAGGACAAGGTGCTGCAACGGTCTTAATGCCACACTTAATTCTGCAAATGATGGCCGTAAATTTGGATCCCTGTATTTTAAAAACGATTTATAAATAGTGTGCACTAATTTCCTATGTAAATGTAAAACAGTAAAAACACTATCGAGTAACTTTTGAAACTTGTGGTTATTTTTTTCCGGTACATCAAAAAAATCCCAGTTACTCAATGGAGAGGGATTTAGTAGAGGTAACAGGGGCGTTCTAGTACCTGGGTCAGTACATTATAGATCAAGTGAACCAGTAGATAGATAAATAGGACGGGTACATATTACTCACATTTGCCAACATTCCCATATTATCCTAGCCACATGAGGGTCAAGTTCTTTGGGGATTTCAAGACGCCGATTTTGGAAACCAACTGCACCTACAACTTGCATAGGGTTCATCCCACTCCATGGTAATCTCATAGTCGCAAGCTCCCAGAGAATAACACCAAAGCTATAAACATCACACCTATTATTCATGTAGCAGTTCCATAAATGTAATTTACACTCCTCAGGACAGTAATATACCCGTCATTTCAAGGTTTCCAAATAAACGTAATAAAGCGTATCTTTATGCCTTTTTTAGGTTTCAAAATATACAAGACAATTCACAAATCTTGTGCACTATTTTATTCATTTATTCCAAAGTTGTTCTTAGCCCTATTTATAAAAACTCTATTTCCATAAAGATTATGATTTTATTCATTTATTCCATAATTGTTCTTAGCCCTATTTATAAAAACTCTATTTCCATAAAGATTATGATTTGGTAGGTACGGGATGGTCATTAATAACACCTGTCCTGCCACCCCAAATCACGTCCTTTTGAAAGCTAAGGAATCGGTACCACACCTATCCAAGAGTCATTGCTCAACCTAAGATGACTAGAAGCTCCAGAAAACACTCGATGAAAGAAACTAAACAAAAGGAAGGGAACAAATCCAGATCACTGTGACAGCACCAAAACAAAGCTAAGGATATGAAAAAAACCCTCATCCAATATCAAGACAGCGGGTTGCTAACCCTAGATGCCCAGGGAGGAATATATACTTCTTAAAGTGTATCAATTTTTTTTAAACATTTTTTTTTTAAATTATCGCATTCTAAGAAGGGGAGCCTTGGCACACCGGTTAAGGGGTGTTGCTGTCACTGTGTGACTGAGAGGTCAAGGGTTGAGTCTTGGGAGTGGCTTTTCGTCAAAAATGACAAGGGGAGGCTTGATCCTTATACACCCTTGTAGTTGGAGCCCCCATACCCTTGCTTTCTCCTTGTAGGAATGCCAATGTGCACTGGGCTGGTCCCTTTCATCACATTCTTTTTCAGAACTTGAAAACAAAGCACCTCACTTTCTTATTAACATGTTACCATGGACACACATTACAAAAAAAACCTATAAATATGATTAATATTTGAAACAGAGGGAGAAGTAATTCTTCGATTGCAACATCAACCAACACCACTTTTAGAAACACTGTCTTTGGGAAAAGGGTCAAATAGACCCTTGTACAATTGTAGATTGGTCACTTAAGCCCATGCACTATAAAAACCATCATATGAATCCATTTACTTTAAAAGACAATCAATTGAGCCAAATTACCTGAAGGTAACCTTTAATAGCAGGTTATCCTACTTCTCTTCTCCCATATTTATTTATTTTCGTTTTTTTTTTATTTCCTTAGGCCGCGTAGTCCCTCACTCCCACAACCCAACCTTCATCGTCATTTTCTTCTTTGTTTCTTGTTTTTAATTTTTCGTTTTACTTGTTTTCTTCTTTTTTTTCGCATCATTTGCAATGGAGCCAAAGATTCATTATTTTTTGGCTTGAGAATATGATGGAATAAAGCAAAATGGCTCACTAAACTGTCTGCGCTTCTTTGTTATGAAGCAGCAGTCAGTCCATGCAATTTCGGACGCGATTTTCCCTATGGGTCATCCGGAAACAGTCTCTCTGTGCTTTAGTACAGTGGTAAGACTGCGTACATCCGACCCCCCCTTACCCCACCGTAGGTGGGAGCCTTTGCGGCACTGGGGTAAATGAAAATGAAAATGAAATGACTTGTTTTCTTCTTTAAGTTTTCCCATCTTTTTTCTTTTAATTCATTTTTAATTCCTCGTGGTCGTCCCTCCATGGATGTATGTCGCGGGATTACAATCATCGTCCGTTCCTCCAAATCGTCGGCGCCTCATGAGAAATGTACAACAATTGATGATGATGGCAAAGGTGAAGAAGACAACAGGAATCGTCAAGCTAGAGGTGATGCAAAATGGAAGTTTTGGTAAGTAGAAGAACAAGAGTACAAGACACACACTTTGACGTGTGAAATGCAGCCGTTGCAGCTTCCGGCCACCTCCAAATGAGTCGGTGTTCCTCTTGTTCCTCTTGCTCCAAATTATGCATTTCACGCATCAGAGAAAGACTATTGGAAGTTGGAACTGGCCGCATGAGGTATCTCCTCATTATGCCGGCAGATTCACATCCAATTTCAGAGAACGAAAGGTGGCAACTCCATGGAACAAGGGAGCGGCAGTAGCCTCTTAAATTTCATCTCTGCTTTTTTTGCAAAGCTTTTTTTTTTGCTTCTAAAGCTTGCCCTACTTTTATCAAAAACTGTGTCTCTTTAATTGTAATAGACTATCATTTGACGTCAATAGAGTTGGGATTGAAGGTTATACATATAAAGACTAAAGAGAGAGATTAAAAATGGCAGCTGCTAGAAGGAAGTTGAGACGGGATGCGGAGAATGAAGAAAAGGAAAGAGAAGAAAATGAAAAGAAATGGAAAAAGAAAAGTCAAATTTGCTCTTAACCTGCTAAGAGGGTTGCTTCCCGGTAAACTTGACTATATTGAATGTTTTTAAAGAGTAAAGGTGTTTAAGTGATACTTTTATTAGTATTGAAACCCCAGGAATTAGGGGATTCCTAGGGTTTCTTTATTCCTAAAATTTAGAGCACCTTCCTTCCATACACCGGGGGGAAAGGAATTGGATGAATTCCTGACATATAAAACTAGATTTTATCTATTTCCGTTTAATTTTATTCACAGTAATCCACACAATCAATCCAAACTAGGCCAAAAATGGATCATTCCATGGTATTGACACTGATGTGAAGATTAAATAGGAGCAACATATATTGATTCAACATCGAACCTGGAAGGGATAACAAGTAAATGAGCAGTTTAACACTCACTTTTCATTTGAAGGTTCATTACGTAGAACTTCTGGCGCCATCCACTCGGGCTACAGGGGTTAAAATTTAAAACAAGTGCATAAAGATATGTAGCAAAAATTGGATAATAAAAAAACAAACTCATGGAATAAAATTATAGGAAATTCTTACTGTTCCTGCAGTTGACTTGGATGACAGGAAAGTGTTATGCTTTAAGCGTGACAAGCCAAAGTCACACACCTATATTAAAAGACTTAGCGTATATACAAAAACATTAAGCACATACTTATAAATGAAGAAAATACTAATATGCATCTGAAGATGTTATGATGACAAACACATGACATTGGAGCTTAGTGATAGGTCCAATGCATTCTTATCTTTTCCCTTGCATTTCATAGAGCTTCTTGTTAGGCTCGGGGCAAACTGAGACCAAGAGATGAACTCAAGGCAAACGTAGTTCATGCTTTTTTTGCATGAAATCATGAACTGTGTTACCCAAGAGATTTTGCGAGTTTGTTTGTGTTATGTGCTAGAGTTCTTGCGTCATGGGAATGAAATATAAATGATAAACGGATAGGGGGTGGAATTTTCCCTTCTCCCTTGTTTCTTCTGAGTTGTTTCTTGGATATCTTATTAGTTTAACAAAGCTCCCTTTTATGATAAGGATTACGTGGCATGAAAATGGCTAAACCAAGGGAAATCCTAACTAATCACTTCCTAATATAGAATAACTAATGACGGTTATAAAATCAAGTTAGAATAAAACAAACCAAGCAAACCAATTAGCTATTACTCATTCTTCTACTTAATTGCCCTTTTAATATTATAGCATAGCACGCATCATTGTTGATATTTTGATTCTTTAAACGTAAATGATGCTTATCGTAGAAGACTATAGATAGACATAAGAGACAGATCAACTTCCGCCTGCTGCCACAGTGAAATGTTCATTACTGCCCACTTGTGTTGACAATGATGGGCCACTCACGAAAAAACAAAGTTCTTTTTGGACCACGGTGACTAGAAGTAACATGCCTAACAAAAATATGGAAGGAAAAAGCAGCAGGAGATGGTTCCTAACATTATGCGCCAGGCCGCAGAAGTAGTGACACAACTTTATTTATTTATTTATTTATTATTATTTTATTCTTTTAATTTGTTTTCTTGTTTCCAAGTCTAATCATCTCATTGAATAAATTTAGTTGCATTTACATTTATCATTTATTTCATTTCATTTACTCATAATAAAAAGTTAACGATTGAGCAAACTTGCAAGGACTCTTACATAACATTTCAACGTGTTATGTTGCTGGGCTAGAGCTCGCGTCAACCGGCAGTTGGTGAGGGCAGAGAGATGGGATTCTTCTATTTTTGCAGGTAATAACGAAAAATAAGGGAAGACAAGGAAGGAGATAAAACTTCAGGAATTTTATGGAGTTCCTTTCTCCTTGATTAAGTACTTAAGTCTGGCTTGTTTATTATTCAAAGCAGGACTCCCTACTTATGGTAAGGGTTACAAGAACCAATAAGGATTACATTAAATCAATTCTTAAAAAAGACTCATCTAATGATGGAAAGCAATAAAGTTGCAGATCAAAAGCGGATGGGGACCTAGCCGCAGCTAGGGTTCTGAGTTTGGTCGCGTAACTTTTTATGCAAGTTCCACGGTCGTTTCACGGCAATTGGCAGAAGGGAATCGGTGGAGGAAGTCCCGTTTCTTGTTTCTCGACATGGAGGACGGTTTCACCACGGAGCAGTGGCGGAGCTGTATAGGTGCAAAGGTGTTCATATGAACACCTAGATTTGAAAAAAATAAGGTAGTATACATGTATAAATTTAATTTAATTATGTATTGCCTTTTCAAATTTTAATTATAGAAAATAAATGAACACCCATAGTTTGGAACATAGATCCGCCACTGCCAGGGAGGGAGTTGAGGTGCTAGCAAATGCATATGAGCAGTTGGATTTGGAAGAGGAACATGAAGTCCTAGTGGTTGAGCCGATGACGCATAACTCTTCGAAGCACAACTTGACTCTGATTGGAACTATTACTTCAGAAAAGTCGGTACGTTTCACTCAATTTAGAGATATTATGGCGTCTGTTTGGAAACCCGAAAAGGGTGTTACTATAACTGAAATCGGCCCTAGACGATATGCTTTTCAATTCTATAATGAAGAGGATATAAATAGGGTAGCAGATGAGGGACCACGACTGTTCGATCAGAACCTAATTGTTATGAGCAGATTGAAGGAGGGTGATATACCTATGTCTGTGCCGTTGAACAAAGCTGATTTCTGGGTCCAGGTTCATGATATTCCAGTGGGTTACTTCACCTTAGACAATGCGGAACGTATTGGGAATTTTCTGGGGACTTTTATAAAAGTGGATGAAAATAATTTCTTTGAGAACTGGAAATCTTTCATGAGGATTCGGGTTTGTATTGATCTGGGAAAACCCCTAAAAAGAAAATTGATTTTGCAAAAGGAGGAAGGTGTTAATTCCGCGTCAGGTTTTGTTACGAGAAACTGCCAAGCTTTTGTTTTCTGTGTGGAATAATAGGTCATGCTGAGAGTCACTGCCCTCGTAAGAGGAGGAGTTACGAGATAACAGGAGAGAGGCCGTTTAGGTCTTGGCTTAGGGTAGCGAAGGGGACAAAGTAGTGGAAAGAGAATAAGTAGCTCGTCCCAGCAGGTAAAGGCATCATTTCGAGTAGCCAGACCAACGATGGAATTAGTGAGGAAGGCAAACGTTCAAGCATCTTGGAAGGCGGGCCCTCAACAAAAGAGAGAGGGAAGCTCGAGCAGAAGCGCAGACGTGTGGAGGATTCGGAAGTTTACCAGACGGAAGAGGAGATGGAGTTAGTACAGGCCGGGGGGGAAAACGGGGAGGAGGCGAGCTACAATTTTATAGCTCGCCAGGCACAAAACTGACAACAGCTCTTTCACAGCATGGGGGAACAAATAAGGCTGAAGGCCATGAAGTCTTTATTATTTATTACGCTTTTTCATTTTTGTATGCTCATGTCGTTTTTTGTTTCTTTCAGAACTCTAGAGGCAGGTTGTTGGTTTGTTTCTTAGTTTTTACTCAGAACTTTCGCGTGGGTGGAAGCGTTAAGGCTAAAGATGCTCAAATTCGCAATTGGATATTAGGGTCACTCGATCCTCATATTATTCTTAACCTATGCCCCCATCGCACAGCTAAAGCCATGTGGGCTTATCTACGACAAGTTTATCATCAGGATAATGCAGCCCATCAATTTCAGTTGGAGTTGGATATTTCTAACTTTCAACAAGGTTCCTTAACTGTTCAGCAATACTATTCCAGTCTTTTAGATCTTTGGACTGAATATATCGACTTATGCCTCGCTAACGTCCCTGAAACTGCTGTTGAGCCTCTTTGGGATATGTTACAAGCACGGCAGCGCAGGCAGTTCTTGATGAAACTGCGCTCCGAGTTTGAGAACACTCACTCCTCTTTAATGAATAGGAATCCAGTTCCGTCTCTGGAAGTTTGCCTTCGGGAACTACTTCGTGAAGAGCAGCGTCTACTTACCCAGGCTACCTTGGAACAAGGTCACACTCCTGTTGCTTATGAGTGCCACACAGTGTTATTCTTGCAAGAATTACGGTCACATTGCGCAGCATTGCCCTAATAAGGTATGCAGTTATTGCAAGAATTTGGGACATATCATCAAAGATTGCTCTATTCGTCCACCCCGCAGAAAAAATACCGCATATCAGGCTACCACAAAAGTTGTGGTCACTTCTCCAAACGTGTCAAATACTCCCGTCTCTACTTCTGCCACTTCTATTACACCTGAAATGGTACAGATCATAATTTCTGCTTTCTCAGCATTGGGAATTCAAGGTAACTCTTTACCCTATTCTAATTGGTTTCTAGATTCTGGAGCCTCCAATCATGTGACACATTCGGTACATGGACTCAATAATATCCGCAAATATGAAGGTTCTTTATCTATTGAAACTGCCAATGGTAATAAGCTGCCTATTACCGCAATTGGTGATATTTCTCATCGGGTTAAAGATGTATTTGTTTGTCCCAAATTATCTACAAGTCTTATCTCTGTTGGACAACTTCTTGATGATAGATGTGACGTGAAATTCTCTTGTGATGGTTGTCTTGTGCAGGATCAAGTGTCAGGGGAGCTGATAGCGAAGGGGCCTAGGATTGGACGTCTTTTTCCTTTACACTTTCCTAGATATAACTCAGTTTCTGCTTTTGCATGTAATAAAAATTCAGGATCGGTGTGGCATAGGAGACTTGGTCATCCGAATCCTCGAGTTCTTTCTCATTTGTTACGTCTTGGTCTTTAGGGTAATAAAGAGAATATGTTTTCTCATTTTGATTGTGAATCATGTAAACTAGGCAAAAGCAAAGTTCTTACTTTTCCATCTAATGGTAGTCATGCTTCCCATTCTCCTGTTGTGTCTCATTCTCATCACAAATACTTTGTTACCTTTATTGACGATTATAGTCGTTACACTTGGATATATTTTCTTCGATCGAAGGCTGATGTTTTCAGAACATTTCAAAACTTTCTTGCCTTGGTAGAAACTCAATTTTCCACAAGTATCAAAGTTCTTCGTACTGATTCTGGTGGGGAGTATATGTCTCATGAATTTCAAACATTTCTTGAATCTAAGGGAATCCTATCTCAACGATCATGTCCTTATACTCCTCAACAAAATGGTGTTGCGGAACGAAAAAATCGTCATCTTCTTGATATCGTTCGGACCTTACTTATAGAATCCAAAGTTCCTACTCGATTTTGGGTTGAAGCTTTGTCTACAGCAGTTTACCTAATAAACCGACTTCCATCACAGGTCTTGGAGTTTGAATCACCTTATTTCTGGCTCCATAAACGTCATCCAGTGTACACTAATCTTCACCCTTTTGGTTGTGTGTGTTTTGTTCATCTTCCGCCCACAGAACGTCATAAACTTTCTGCCCAGTCTGCTCGTTGTGTGTTTCTGGGATATAGCATTAGTCAAAAGGGATTCATGTGTTTTGATCCGCAAGAAAACAAGTTGCGAGTCTCCAGGAATGTTATATTCTTTGAAAATCAGTATTTCTATCATACTTATTTTCCTAATAACTCATCTTCTGTCATATTAACTACGTTTGAAAGTGTCTCTAGTCCTCCTAGCTCCAGGTTCAAAGGAATAGTGTATGCTAGACGCCGTCTGCCAGACTCTTTGCCACCTCCTTCCCTG